AATTTTATCTTTACTGGGCCTTTCCTGTTTTTCTCTCAATTTCATTCTAGCAAATGAAGTGATCTAGGAGATACCCGAGTAGGAAAGGTCTCAGGCAGGGACTTCTGGAGGCTTGCTCTTTTCTGAGGGAGGGTGCTCTGTAGCTTAGGCTGTCCAAGCAGAGGCCCCTTATTTGGGCCTTTGCAAGTTGATGAAGAATAACTATAACATTGAAGAAAGATCCAGCCAGGTGCAGTGGTTCACGCCTGTAATCCCAACACTTTGGGAGGTGGAGGTGAGAGGATTGCCTGAGCCCAAGGGTTTGACACCAGCCTGGTCAACTTGGCGAGACCTTGTCTCTATAATAAATAAAAACAGCCTTGTGTGGTGGTACGCACCTGTAGTTTTAGCTGTGTGGAAGGATCACCTGAGCCCAGCAGATTGAGGCTGCGATGGCCGGGAGCATGCCACTGCACTCCAGCCTGGGCGACAGAGTGAGACTCCAACTCAAAAAAAAAAAGGCCAGGTGTATCTTATGCCTATAATCCCAGCACTTTGAGAGGCTGAAGTGAGAGGATTGCCTGAGTGCACGGGTTCAAGACAAGCCTGGGCAAATTGGTGAGACCTCATCTCTACAATAAAATTTAAAAATTAGCCAGCATGGTGGCGCATGCCTGTCGTTCCAGCTACTTCAAAGGCTGAGGTGAAAGGATCGCCTGAGCCTAGGTTGAGGCTGTGGTGGCCGTGAGCATACCACTGCACTCCAGCCTGGGCAACAGTGAGACTCCAACTCAAAAAACAAAAAACAAGATTCAATGCTGATTTTGCGAGGATCAATTCCCTCAACCATAATGAAGATATCTATGGTCCCAAGGGCTATTTAAACCTAGTTTACCTCTTCCAAACTCATAATTGGCGTTTTCTAAAGACTATACTTATTTTTTTATTTTTATTTTATTTTATTTTTTGAGTTGGAGTCTCACTCTGTCGCCCAGACTGGAGTGCAGTGGCCACTCCCGGCCACTGCAG